CGGTAAGACAATACCTAGAAATCCAAATTAACATAATTTGGCAGGACTATTTCAAACAACATAAAGATGAATCTTTTTATAAGAATTAAGTTTTAAGAAAATCAAGGAGGATTCCAATTGCATATGTTGAAAAATGGTTTTGTTAAATGTGAGGCATCAATCATTTGATTGTTTATCTTTGACAAAAAAACAAAATTACAGTTTTATTGAAATAAAAGTAAAAACAAAAAAAAACTTAGTTTCCCATCTTTTCCTCATGTCTCCTCCATCTCTACAAACCACTACACCACAATCTTCCTCTTCTTTTTTCTCCACCACAGCCCCGCCACATTGACTTCTCTGAATAAATAACAGAGATCAAGGAATAATGATGAAAAGGTTATAAGCATTAGGCAAGCAATCTCCCACATGAAATAAGTAGAGTTTCCAACTTGTGATTGCATGCCAAAATCGAGACTCTGAAGCACACTGATATATTTTGTCATCTTCAGTTGGAGAAAATGGCAATCCGTAATTCTGAAGCTCAATCACAGCTTTTGGAGGTTCTCTACACACACACATATATATATATACTGAATTGCATCTTGATCACCTATAGATTAAAAGTTACATATAAGAATAGAAAACATCCAAAACATGTAACAAGAATCAAATTTACTTGAGTAAATGAGGTCATGTACATGTGAGATTGCACATGAGCATGATACATCACTATAGAAGACAATTCAAAATCAAGCTTCCGAAACATGGACCAAGAAAGATAAAAGAAGAAGCCTTCAAAATCATAAGCCAAACTAAGACATTGAGTTTTTTAAACTCCAAATTTTCTACCTAACCACAACAAGCATCACCATACCTAACCAATCACTTCCAAATTTGACATTTTGTCATACATATGCAATCTCCAGTCATATTACCCAATGAATCATTTATCCCTTGACAAAAATTCATCAACAACAACAAAGCAAAGCTTATATTAGCTTAATTACAAGAGTGAAAAAGGCAACGAAGGTACCTGAGCTGCAGTCCTTTGTTGCTCCAAGGCCAACACCGCCTACCATAACGTATGATTCATACGTTAAGATGATCGATCTCCTGTCTTCTGCCACACCAATTTAAATTAGAATTGGTCTAATATGATATCCACATACAAAAAAAAAAAAACAAATTAAACGAATCCTAGAAATCATATCAGTAGATGGAAGCTGCTAATT